GGTCTGTGTCTAAGGACAGGACCTCTGAAACGATCGTCCCTACCCACATGGGAAAGGAGATTTGTGCAAGTGGTTTTACCGCATGAATTCCAGAAAAACAGTATCATACCACTTTCCCTTTTCATTTTAACTCCATAAAAGGCAGGCACAAAACATGTGGCCGCTGGACTAGGAATTATCAGTAACCTTGTGAGGTCATGCACCACGAGTGCCTTGTTCTGCGGCTCAGTCACAAGAGCCCACCTCCTCTGACACTGCGTTCTCTCAGACACAGTGCTCAGCGGCTTTTATGACGCATGCGCAGAATGCAAACCGAGTAGAAACCACCACGTAGGGGTTCCAGGCCGCCTCCTCTTCCCCTGCAACCTAAGTCCTTCAAAAACTAATATTAAGAAAAGTACACAAGATGCTTCCTAGGACCAGACAAACAACGCATCTGTACCTTTCAGGATTGGCTGCTTCTTCATCTGTGACTAAAAGGAAAAGCAACGTTGTTAGACTTCGTTTAAAATTGGCGTTAGTGTTATTTATATCCGGGTCTTGGGAGCACAGGTGAGAGATCTGGAGTAGAATCTTCTTACCCCTACGAAGAGGTGATGAGTGGTGGGAAAATAAAAACTGAGAGTACCCATCCTAGAAGACCCAAAGTGGAAATTCATTTTCCCTGAGAAATGGGCCTTGCACTGTGTCACTGGGAACAATGGGAGTAGAAGCCAGAAGTCCTGGTTTATTTTGAGAATGCGGTGAAGCAGTTGTCCCCCTTAGGTGATTGTGTTACGCAGCACCAGAAAAGTCCTGGACTCCACTTGTGCTCTGACCTCTCCACCGCGTTTCCCCAGCCCCCAGGGAGCACAGTCTTTCCTGGCTGTTGCCATATATATATATGTTCTTATTCCCGTCTGATCCTCTCTCATCCCTAAAATAATCAGCATGAACAGAATGAAGCAGATGGCACAAGCCTTCTTCGGCGTCCTGGCAGATCTGTATCACTCAATGAGTATTTTTAGAATCAAGGGGACTGAAAATTATGCCCTGAGATGTTTTGGGGGGAAGACTTACTCTCTTTCCAGGGTGACAGGTGTTGAAATAGTATCATCGTTAAAATTCAAGTGCAGTCCGTGTCTCAAGGCGTAGGACAGGCTGACCCTCAGAAGGACCAGCACTTTATTGGTTTTCTTAGGACTGCTGGGGATGGGCCAGGTAATAGGAAGGAATCATAAATCTTTTTCAAGGTTGTAGCTAGAAAGTGCATCAGGTTTCAACCAAAGTTCAGAATCATCCGTATACAGCCAGTACCGATCAAGTGCCTGGGGTTGAGAGATGGTACATATATCCACACAGTTTATTGTTTTAATAGCTAAGCTTTGCTCCCCAGTTGCAAGGAATGTGTGGTCTGTTGGGAAAGACATTTTGTAGGCGTTTGCGATTATATATTGAAAACAGTACAGACATTTGTATTTTAAGGTCCATATTTATGAAATACATAGTTACGGTGACTGGAGTTTTATAACACTATGAGTTTGAGTCAATCACTAAAGATTTTATAAAGAAATTAAAGTGTGTTCACTGGAATGTAATTAATTCAACTCAACATTTGAGGACCAACTTTACACTTTGTGTCAGGCTGGGTATATTTAACACAAACCTATAACTCACAAGATAAGGTCTTGGGAAGAACATTCAGAAAACAGGTACGTATGAAAAATTTGCAAGACTTTGCGTGAGAGGGAAAGTTTGGAAACCTGAAGTAGAGGAAACATGCCTTGCCCCTAAATAAAATGTGGCCATGTCTAACGTGCTCTGATTACAGTCACCATCTTGGGACACCAGAGGGGAAAGAGACATGGACGATGTGCATGCCTGTTGGGCTTGTGAGTCTAGGGATAAAGTGACCAGAAAGTGGATCTGAAAAACTTTATTCAAAGGGCAACTTTTAAAATTGAATATATCTGATTTTTCTTTCTCATTATATGGTTAAGCAATCAGTGGAGGTTTATATCTGCCGAGTAACAAAGTATCCAGGCTCCTTACTTTCCATTTCTATGCTCTTGTCTACACTGCTCCTCCCAGTAGGAATAATTGACTTGTGTACACACAGGGGGAGGTTATGTGCCTTTTCTCCATCGTATCCATTGTTGAATTGTTAGAAACCATTAGTTGCACATGGACGCATGGTTCTACTTTAATCTCATTGCTTCATAAATATTACAACATCTGTATGGCAGATTTTTAGATTAAAATTTGCTTCAGGGTCATTTTCTTTCAGTTAATTGTCTCCAACACCCCTCTTACATGCATCAGGTGACTATCATAAAAGAGGAAACGGAAACTTGGGATATAGCCTACAAGGGTGAGCTGGAATTTGAACTGGGAAATCTTTCCACTGTGTTTATAAAACAAATGACATAAATTCCTCCCAAACTCCAGGGAAAACACCTGAGGGCCAATCAGTAGCACAAGTTCCGTCCAGGGAAAACCAGCCATGCCCATGTCCGTCCTGCCAGAGAATCTAAGCATCTGCCTGTACTATTCTATGCATCTATGGTTAGCCACATGCGGCTATTAAAATTAAACAAAATAAGCTCCTGTTTTACAGTGGCACATTTTGAGTGGCTAGGTGTCATGGTATACACAGCACTGCCGTCATGGCAGAAAGTTCTGTTGGACTTACTGGTCATCTCATGAAGCAGGAATCAGGGAGAATACAGTTACTGAGATAAATTGAAAAAAAATACGTGTTCTTGGAATTGGTAAGTAGGTGAGAGAAATATAGAACTCTTCCTACCAAACCAACTCCTCCCGAGAGATAAGTGTGTTGTGCATTTAAGTACAAAATAAAGGAAGAAAACAGGCATTTCAGATTTTATAATCTGTACATGTTTTATTCTTTTAAAAATAGACCAGAAAGCACACAGAGCAATTTCAGGCCAATGTGTGTATTTTGTAGCTGGCCCAGTACTGTGGCCAGACTTAGGCTGCATGAGGGGGAGGCTGAACCACAAGCGCTGGCAGCCCATGGGTAGAATTCCTAGAAGGGCCCTGTGGCCAGGCGTGCTGGAAGGGGCTCGGGCAGAGCTCGGATATGGGAAGGGAACAAGGGGTTGGCGGGAAGGGCGTTAGGCACAACTGGGACAGAAGTCCAGCTAAAGTTGTACTTGGTGACAGAATCAGAAAGGAGAATTGGAACGGGAAAGGGGTTTGGTGCCCAGATGCTGGCCGAGGGTTCCCGTGTGTCCCCAATTTCAGGTTAGCGCCATACCTTCAGATCAGCGCACCCAAGTCAGTTCTAGGGGCTCCAAGTTGGAGGGACAGGGCAGTGAGGGGTATTTGTCTTTGCTGTGATCTCTTCCCCAGGCACTAAACACATTTGGGATGGAAGACGAGAAATGCTGAGTTTCCTATAACTTTTGCCTATTAGAAGAGGAGTGGATGTTTGCACATGCACTAGTATTTATAGTACTTAAACTGTTACTAAAGTTATATCTAGCTTTCCAACCTGAAAGTAACTAAAAAGGTAAGAAACATCAACTTTTCTCAGTAAAGAACAACTTGAAAAACTTAAGACTTAGCAAGAAATGAGCTGCAGGAACAGAGCTTTAGAAATCTGCCCTGGTTACCTGGCAACATTGAGGAAAGGATGGCCTACATAGGAGAGCTACTCCAGTGTGTTTGGTGTAAGCATATAGGACAGGGTGAATATCCCTTATGTAAAGTGTGTGGAACCACAAGTGTTTTGATCTTCAGAGCTGTTCAGGTTTTGGAGGGGAAAAAAAAAAAAAAAAAAAAAAAAAATATATATATATATATATATGTATATGGAAGCCAAGTCTGAACACATAGTTCACTTGCATTTCATAAATGCCTTTACCATAACCTGGGATAGTTTTGAACATTTCTAGTGTGTGTGTGTGTGTGTGTGTGTGAAAACTAACCCATCATATGAAGTCAGGTGTGGAATTTTCCGGTTGTGGTGGCAAGTTGATACTCAAAAGTTTTCAGATCTTGGAGCATCCCAGATTTTCAGATTTGGTCCGTTCAACCTGTACTCTCGTACCTTTAAGTGCTGGCCCTTGAAAGGTTAGCCTCCACCCCCTGAGGATGACTCTCAAATAGCACAAGCTTCCAGGACTGACTGCATTATTCATGCGCTGTGTTACTCATGATGGCGCCTTAGAAACTTACGAGTCCTCAAATGAGTCCATTGGTAGAGAGAGAAAAAGCTTGCAGTGTGGTGGGCGGCTTTGAAGAGGCAGCAGGCGCAGCTCCTAGAACTGCCCTTCCCAGGGGCAGCTGAAGAATGCGGAGATGTCTTAGTGAACAAAAGCAGCGGAGATGGACAGAACTGTTTTCTAGAGGACGGTGCTCTAAGCATGAGTCTGGCCTGTGCTTTCAGAGCAGCCATCAGCCTTGTTTCCACGGAAACATTCTCTCTTCCCCTCACCGCATCAGTGTGGCTTCCCGGCTTTACTCATATTTACAGCAATCCTTGTGCCCAGTGATCTTACAAACAAATTGCCTGAGACGTATACAAATGATGTCTTCGCATCCTCTGGAAGTTTAAACAGGTGTCGTAAACAACTTCTCTTATGATAACAGTGCATGAAGAAGGAAAGCCCATGGTTTGAATAGGAAGTGGGGGGGATGTTTTGTTTATGACCAAACACTCCAGCACACTGAAGCGGGTTTTTCTTTTTGTCTTTTATCACCTGAGCCTCACAGTGACGTGAAGCACGCAGCGGCTGAGGCTGAGGCTGAGGCTGCATGCGTGGGAAGAGCCGTCCTTGTGTCTCAGGAGTGTGCCCCATCATTCCTGAGCGCAGGCCGCATGGTTGAGGCAAAGGCTTCCATGCAGAAGGGCCTCTTGAAGCACACAGGGAAGACAGTGCAGAGGAGAGCCGTTTAGAAGAACGCACCGAGAGTGGGTGGTGGCTTCCGAAGCAGCAGGGAGGAGATGCAAGGCTGAGCCATGGCTGACCTGAGGGCACTTCTTGTCTCCACAGACCGGCTGGTGATGCAGGACCCTGCCCAGCGGTAGCAATGCAGACCTCCTTCTCGCACCTGGATCTGGAGGCTGCATGTAAACCAGGACGCGAGGAAGCAGGAAGCAAACCCGGCATGTCCGAGAGCACCACATCTGCGTAGGACCGAGGGGTGATGCTGCCTCTGCCCGGCTCTGGAGCCCAGCTGCAGTGACTTGCTGATGTGCCCGGCACCTTCCTTCTGTCTGTGCTTAAATGGCACAGCACTGGATCAGCACATCTGAAGAGAAAGGCGTGAGAAGCAGAGCCCATGGCCACGTTCCCCTGCCAGCTATGCGGCAAGACATTCCTCACCCTGGAGAAGTTCACGATCCACAATTATTCCCACTCCAGGGAGCGGCCGTACAAGTGCTTGCAGACTGACTGTGGCAAAGCCTTCGTTTCCAGATACAAATTGATGAGGTGAGAGACGCTGGGAAGGCTCTTCCAGCCCTCAGACAGCTCGCCCCAAGGGGATTGCGCCGTAGCCTTCTAGCCATTCCCTAAACCTGTCTCTCCAGTGATCACTGTGGTCTCTGGTGGTTCCTTCAGGCCTAAAGGCAGAGGTGAGAAGCCCCCAGCTGAGGAGGCAGGCACACAGACACCATTAAACAGCGCCCCGCTTCCACGGCTCTGCCCTTCCCTGCCCGGGGAGACACTGCGGGATCTCAGAAGGGGACAGTCCCCAGCTGTGACGGGAATCAAGGGGAGGAGGTGGGCCGGGAGGAGGCTCTGGGAAGGCTAAGAGCCTCAGCTCTGAAGCACCATGCACAGAGGGCTGGAGAGCGGTGGGGCGAGGCTGGGAACATCAGCAGGAGGCAGCAGTGCACACCAGGCCCTACCTGCTGTCTGAAAGGGTTGTTTCTCGCACTTGAGGAGAGTGTTAGGAAGGTGCCATGGACAGCAGTGGAGAGGAGGGGTAAGGAGACTAGTTTGGGACCTGTTTCGAGAGTCTAGGCACTGAGTGCAAGGGCTTGCCCAGGTCCCTCGAGGGAGGTTGAAAAGTAGGAGAGGCCTATGGGTGCAGGCTTTTGAGCAGCTCCTCACCTTGCATGGAAAGGGCACCCGCATGATGGGGCTCTACGGGGTGTAGAAGTGCGCAGTGCGTACATCCGGCAGAATTTCAGAGGCAGCCGTGATGATCTATCAAGGATAGAACCTGCTGCTGTACCAGATGAGTCCATCTTAAAGAACTATTTCATCTGAGTTACTTCTTGAGAGCTACTGGGCGCTCCATGCCATGAGGGAAATGATACCTGACATAGAGCTTCTGTTTCCAAGGGATTGCGGTAGCGCAGAGAGGGCAAGATGCGCAGCCAGACAGCAGTCTGACTGAGGGCGAGGGCTGTGTGCGTGGTGTCTGCAGTGCCCACCAGGTGCGAGGACTCGCACTAACGTGTGCTGCTTTTGATGCTTGCTTAGGGGAAATGTGCTCTCCCCGAGTGAATGAAGATGCAAATTATGCTCCTGGCCTTACTGATGCTGTATTATGCTATAAGTTGATTTTTAAAATTAAGCCTGTAAATGCACAGGCATTTTAAAATTCAAGCATTTCCCGCCATACACAGGCCACTCTAGCTGTCATAGTGGTGATCTGCGCGCGTACCATGCGCACCAGTGTCACTGTGGCGGCTCGAGCTGCTGCTGTGTGTGCAGCAGGAATCACCACGTTAACACCCAAGGCGGCCTGGGGCGCAGCTGGGCCGCAGGAGGATGAAGCCTGTGAGACATGTGCAAGGGAGAAATACCTGGAAAAGACAGCAGAGTGAGCAGATGATTGGAAGGCGTAGAATTCTTGGCGTTATGCAGTCAAACCACACTGAGGATGTCTTAAGCACTGTTGGGGCAGCTCAAGGGAAATGACTTGTCCAGTTAAGGGTGTAAAGTAGGGCTGAGGATTTAGCTCAGCAGCAAAAGCGCCTGCCTGGCAAGCGCAAGGTTGTGAGTTCAGTTCCCGGTACCAGAGAAAAACCAAAAAAAAAAAAGGGTGTAAAGTAAGCAGAAAAGAGAAACTGTGTGCTTTTATGCAAGCCCTGTGTGGTCCCTACCCCAGCCCCAACGTCTCTCCTGTGGCCACACTCTCCTAAAGGAATGAGAGACTGGGGAGATGGCAGGATGCTTTAGGTTTGGCTTTAATAAAGAAAAGATGACAGTGCAGCATTCCACCCCATTTCTCCACAGTTGCACCTGGAGTTCTGTTGTATGAGCAGTAATTAAAGGAGAAAGTAGCTGACTTGCAGAAGAGAGAACAGGGGTTCAGTATAGCAAACAATGGAACCAATTAGGTGGAGACAGCAAAGGGTGAGAAGAGATGATCTGGCAGGGAAGATTCAAGTCCAAGGTTGGACGTGTTACTGTGAAGGGTCTCCCACAAAGTCTTCTAACAGCACTGACATGAGTCAGTTGACAGCCCAGGATGGTGGCATTTGGTATCCCCTGTGGGTCATACTGCAACTGGAAGTGTCGTGGATTGTGAGCGGAGAAGAAAAGTCGAGCAGGAAACAAGTTGTTGAAGCACTTTGAACTCTGATAATGTTTTAGATTGGGACTGTTGCATGAGGAAATAAGGGGAAAATGAAAAGGGGAAGAATTGGAAAGGAAAAAGGAACAAAACTAAGGGATTGGAGGACGGAAGGTGGAGAGACTGGAAAGGTGATGGTACTGCTCGGGTACGAGTACCAACCTGGGCTCCAGAAATGGCAGAAGTATAGGACAGGAAAGAGTAGGTAGGAGACAAGACGCAGAGCTATTAACCTGAGGTTGATCTGCCCATGGATGATACTTGAAATCAATCTAGATTAAAATCCTCTACAAAGAAAGAGGGGGATAAGGACAACAATAGAAAACCCAGCACAGACCTTGGCAGCGCTATTTAGTATTACTAAGTCAAATTGAAACCGTGTAAACACTAAGTGGATAAGTCAGCCCCTCCCCACACTGATCCCTGTCATACATAGGTGGGTATCTTTAAAACAAGACGGCTACTTCCCCTCTCCACGTGCTTTCAAAAACCCTTTGTGCAGCCTGTGGGTGTATCTGAGTTCACCTGGGATGTGGAGACAGCAGCATATTGATGTCTCAAATGCCTGTTGTACTGGTTCTTTACCCTCAGCACCCAGCACGATATTCATGCCAACCTTTTATTCCATGCACACTGCAGGTTACCCTTGTTTAAAAGGGAGAGGAAGGGGGTGTGGAAGGAGGTGTACAAGGAGGTGTGCTTTGTTTTAAGACAGTGATCCAGCAAAGCTTTATAATTTTTGAACTGGTGTCCAATCTGACTCTTGGTGGGACCACCGCCTTCTAAATCCCGGTTGTTAGTGACCCCTTGCCGGGAGTGGTAAGACAGAGTAGGCAACTGGGTAAAAGATATAATTAAGTACACTTCTGAGTTAAAGATACAGTCCGAAAGAGAGTGTATCTTTCTTTTGTAGAATGGGCTGTTAGAAATTCTTGTGTATCCAAAGTCACAAGCTCAGAGGGTACAATTGCACTAAAATTGTTAGTAAGACAAGTTAAGAGATTCTAAAGGAGGGGACTGCCCCAAGGGATAAAGCAGCTTACCTGGTACTTGAAAGCTGCAAGGAAGGAATTCTGTTTTATAAGAAGTACTCATACGTAGTACTCATGTATAGTGTTTCAGTTATTAAACTGAGCCTTTTATATCTTAAAGCAACAAGTTTTTAAAAACTGGCTTCCAATTATATACTTTCTCCAAAGGATAGGGTTTTGTTGTTGTTACTTCCAGTACTGGAGACTGAACAGGCAGATCGGAATTTCTTTTTAAGTTTTATTCTGAGACGAGGTCTTTCCAAGTTGCCCAGGAAGGCTTTCACTTGCCATTCTCCTGCCTCAGCCTTCCTCGAAGGTGGGATTACAGGCATTTGCCACCTCTCCTGGCTAAGGACAGACTTTTTAAAAAGCTAACAGTCTGAACTTTGTATCTCAATCAATAGAGACCATGCACAAGTTATATTTGGAACAACAATCTAAAACTTGGGGCTTAGGGGTTTTACAAGAGTAGAAGGTATATTGGGTCACTTGGAAATTCAGGAATTTTCAAAAAGCAACAAATACCTATTTAAAACTTGTGTTTGTTTAGAAATCTATATACATTATAAGGATCTTCTCAAAAAACATTCCCTCTGGCTATGAAAATGGCCTTGGGTTGTTGTTGATTTTTTTTTCCTTTAGTACTGGGAATTGAACCCAGGACCTTCACACTGATCTATATCCCCAGCCCTTTTTATTTTTGAGATAGGGTCTTACTGCTAGGCTCAAACTTGTGATCTTCTTGCCTCACCTCCCAGAATGCTAGGATTACAAGTGTATGCCATGATGCCCGCGTAGTTTTTAGTTTTTGATGATAAAATGTTACGTATTTGGAAAATGTAGAAAGGTAATTTTAAAATGAAAATGTACTGAACTATGAACCTTCTAGGGTACTATTTATTATTTCTACACCCTTCTCCAACTCCTGTTGTGCACTGTTGCTCCCGCCCCAGGCACATGGCTACCCACTCTCCCCAGAAATCTCACCAGTGCGCCCACTGCGAGAAGACGTTCAACCGGAAGGACCACCTGAAGAACCACCTCCAGACCCATGACCCCAACAAGATGGCCTTCGGGTGCGAGGAGTGTGGCAAGAAGTACAACACCATGCTGGGCTACAAGCGGCACCTGGCCCTGCACGCGGCCAGCAGTGGGGACCTCACCTGTGGGGTCTGCGCCCTGGAGCTGGGCAGCACCGAGGTGCTGCTGGACCACCTGAAAGCGCACGCGGAGGAAAAGCCGCCCAGCGGAGCCAAGGAGAAGAAGCACCAGTGCGACCACTGCGAGAGATGCTTCTACACCCGGAAGGACGTGCGGCGCCACCTGGTGGTCCACACGGGCTGCAAGGACTTCCTGTGCCAGTTCTGCGCGCAGAGGTTCGGGCGCAAGGACCACCTCATCCGGCACACGAAGAAGACGCACTCGCAGGAGCTGATGAAGGAGAGTCTGCAGGCCGGGGACCTCCTGAGCCCCTTCCACGCGGGGTCGCCTTCCTTCCCGCTGAAGGCCGCGCCCCTGTCCCCCTACCCTCTGGGGCCACCTGCGCAGAACGGGCTCGCGCCCAGCGTGCCCGCCGAGGCCCACAGCCTGCCCCTGAGCCCCGCGGAGCACAGC